ATATAAAATGGGTGTTTAGAAGAAGTGTTCCCTCTGGGGTGGTGGGGTCTAAGGTGGTAAATTTCTATAGAGGAGAACAAGGGGACATAGATGTCATGCCAAGTCAGGTCATAGGCCTGGGGCAGGCTCCTTAGTAAAGGTGGTTGGGTCAGTGGAAAAAAAACCTGAGATGCTTCTCAATCTGTGTGAGGCTGGGCATAGAGAATGGCACTCGGACTCAGACTATGCCCTCAGTTCCTGCTGCCTCCCTCAGGGGTAGAATGGATGCAGGAATAGAAGAGGCTGTTGAGGAGGGGAGTCTTTGGGTGGCCTGAGAATAAGTGTTAGATGGGAAAGGCTGTTTCAGGGACTGGGGAGAAGGAGGTTGCTGGTTCAGAGGATCTGGGTTTTGGGAATCTACTGCAGGTGAGGGAGAAGATGTATAAAGGGGGTGGAGGTTAGTGGGAGAGGTGGAGAGGAATGATTGACTGGGTTGAAGTATCAGAAGACAGAGAAAGGGGCTGAGGATCGGTTTGAGGGGGCAAAGGGGACTTTGCGAGGAGGATCTGATGAGTGGAACAAGAGGAGCAAAGCGAGGGGCGAGAGCGGAGGAAGAAGAAAGCCTGTACGGAAGGGATCTCTGAGGCCTTCCCTGTCCGGTGGCAGAAATTATCTAGGTTCCTGAGGATGTTGAAATTGAAAGTGCCATTCTCGGGCCACTTAGAGCCATTATCGAGTTTGTATTGTGGCCAGGCAGTGTTGCAGAAAAATGAGCTTCTTTGGTTTGATGTAGCCAGAAACACCAAGGGTCGAGAGATAGGCGAGGAGACACCCTAAGGGTGTGTTTTGAGGGGTTTGGATTGAGAGGTCCCCTGACTAGAGGGAAGGGCTATCGGAAGTTGGAGAAGGAACAGGAGCATCTTCCTGCTCCCTCACCCAACCTGTAGAGAGAGAGAGCCGAGAAAATGTTCGGAGATCGTCACCCCGAGACACTTTTCCCGTGGATAGGAAGAGTATTCCCGGCCAGGTGCCTGGGCTTTTGTAGTACGAGTAGCCGAGTAGACGGGAAATTCTGAGACCCTAATGCCCCTCCAGGTCACAGGGAGCGAGAAAAAAAAGGGGAGGAGGGTTAAGTTGAGTCCGAAGGCCTACCGGGAGGCGGGAGGTGAAGAGATCCCCACAGGTCCTGGTTCGGCAGGATTCGAGAGGGGCCGGGGACAGGCCAATCAACCCAGAACTGCACCACCGAGCAAAGTCAGGAAGTTAGCCCGGGTCGGGCTTCTGCTGTGCACTGCTTCCCTGAAATGCTCAGGATATGGTCCAGGAATCGTCCCCGTTCCCGTTTGCCCCTTCTGGGTTTTGGCACCAGAATGAAATATCAGTTGGGAGCCGAAAACCAAGTATTAGAGGCTTTATTAGGAAAAAGACCTGCCGGACTGTCTTGCAAGGGGAGAGCAGCAACCCGTACTGAGGTGAGCACTCCTTTTGAGGGGAGGAATGGGAAGGAATGGGGGCTTAGGGTACTCGGCGTGCGCTGATTGGTGGCTTAATGTATGGTCCATATAAGGTACATGGTTAGGCACTCAGGTATTTCCGGGCTGCAGGTTACATCATGTTTACTGTTACTCTGCCCACCAGTTGGGGGAAGGCAGGATCTATCAATCACAACAACCCTCGCAAACTTATACCGTGGGCAAGAGATCAGATGCTGGCACAGGCATTCAAGGAGGGCCAGTGGTCCTCACACTGGAACATGCGACCAGTTTACCCCAAAACCTTGTCGAAACACAGTGTTGGGCCACACCCCCAGGCCATTGCTTCAAAAGGTCTAGAGCAGCGGTTCTCAACCTGTGGGTCGCGACCCCTTTGGCAGTCGAACAACCCTTTCACAGGGGTCGCCTAAGACCATCCTGCATATCAGATATTTACATGACGATTCATAACAGTAGCAACATTACAGTTATGAAGTAACAACGAAAATAATTCTATGGTTGGGTCACAACATAAGGAACTGTATTTAAAGGGCCAGAAGGTTGAGAACCACTGGTCTAGAGTGTCGCCCAGGAATGTGCATTTCTAACAAGTCCCCTAGTGGTGCCGGTGGTGCTGGCCGAGGCCCACACTTTGATAACCACGGCTTAAGGGGCACATGTGGCCTGGGCTGGGACCTTCTGGCCCCAGGAGTAGATGTACATCCCCACTGACTCGAGTCGTGCAAGCCCATTTGGAAAACTTAGTGGCCGCAAGCAGTTGTCTTTTTAAATGATCTCTTCCGTTTTAAATGATGTATACATGTATTGGTTCATGGACTCCCACAATAACCCTATGTGGTAGATGTATAGTCTCCATTTTTAAAAATAATAGGTTTTTATTGATTTCAGAGAGAAAAAGGGAGAGGGAGAAAAATAGAAACATCCATGATGAGAAAGATCAATGATGAAAAACATCAATTAGCTGCCTCCTGCACACACCACACAGGGGATGGAGCCAGCAACCCAGGCATGTGCCCCAACCAGTAACCCAACCATGACCTCCTGGTTCGTGGGTCAACACTCAACCATGGAGCCACACCGGCCGGGCTACAGTCCCCATTTTTATAGACGAGGAAAATGAAGCTCAAAGTGGGGGCTTGGGGGGCGGAGTGACTCCTCTGCAGGGCTCTCCCTCTGGTTCCCTGAGCTCAGATTCTGTACTCAGAGCCCAGCCTGGAGAATTCCTGGCTAGTTTAATCCTCAGAACTCAGATTTCCCTGATCTTTGTAAATCGCACCTACCATCACCTCGTCTGAAAAGAAAGCCATTCACATCCATCCACAACCAGCTGCAAACCTGTGCATATGGGCTCCACTCTCTCTCCCACCCACTGTGGCCACTTCCTGCTGGATCTCATGACCTGGGTCCTCTTTCCACATCCTCTTGCACCCAAATGCCATCGGATCTGACTTCCTTCTTCCTGCTTCCATATGTCTTAACAAACTGGCCCCCAGCTGCTGTGGACCTAAGAAGCCCGGCATGCAGGGTGGGCAGGTGTGGGAAACGCCTGGGAGAACGGTCGGGAAGGATTTGTAAAGTCTGGAGTTGGACAGACCTGCTTGCCTGGCCCCTCTCCCAGGAGGGGCCTCCAGGTTATGAAGGCACCTTGTTGTCACACCCCCTCACTGGGCAGGCTGGCCAGGCCCCTTCTTGCCCCTTCCATGTCCTTTGACAAGTGCTGGTTGGTGCAGACTGGGTTGGAGTGTGAGCTTTGAACCCCAGCCAGGTGGGCACCTATGAGATTCACCCAGAGAGGCAGACACAGGGTGCAGAGGCCCCTTTCAGCTGAGTTCCAAGTTCTCTGATCTCTCTGCCTCCTCACCTTCCGCAGGCCGGAAGTGCCTCCACGGTGGCGCTGACTAGCGCATCCCCAGGACGGGTGTGCAATGCTGAGACCTGTCTGGCCAGACACCCACAGTCACGTGTCTGCAGGTAACCCTGGAGCCCAGCGTCCTGCCGGCTCCCAGCACTGTGGAGCCAGAGCTAGGGGCAGGATGGAGGAAAGGCGTGCCCAGAACTTCAACATAGGCCCCAAGGACTTTTGATGGCGTCAATGTTTCACACTGCAGCAGAGGGATTATCCCCACCCACCCACACCAGTGAGCAGGGGCTGAGCACTAACCCTCAGCACAGGGCAGAGCGGGGGGCTCAGCACACACATTCCTCGGGAACTTCCAATCTGGGTGCCACCTGAGACAGGCCCCTCGAGAGAGAGCATAGTGTAAAGCTCCAGTAGGAAGAGGGTCGAGTGCCCAAAACACAGTCAGAAATGACAAGATGCAAGAGTCAGGTCGCCAGGAACAGAGAGGGTCACTGGGACGGGGCTGAGGGCGATTTCACAGAGGCCCCATCTGTGTGAGGGTCGGGGATGGGAAGGAGAGCGGGGGCTGGCCAGGGGGAAGAGGCCGCTGTGAGAAGGAGCAGGGCGGGCTGGGGCCTGCGGGAGGCAGACACCTCACTGGCCCTGGTGCTCCCCGTGCTTGGGCCGAGAGGTGCACGTTCTATTTTACTACTGAATGCAGAATCGCCCAAGTCAAACTGCTCTCTGTATGTTGCTTTAGACTCAGGAAGGTGCAACGGAAGCTTTGTCGTGTCTCATGTAAACTCGACCTAAGCAGCGGTTCTCAACCTTCCTAATGCCGCGACCCTTTAATACAGTTCCTCATATTGTGGTGACCCCAACCATAAAATTGTTTTCGTTGCTACTTCATAACTGTAATGTTGCTACTGTGATGAATCGTCATGTAAATATCTGATACGCAGGATGTATTTTCATTGTTCGCGACCCACAGGTTGAGAACCGCTGAACAGGGATCGGACTTGCCGACCTGCACCGATGAAACGAGGGCCTGTTCCTCCGACTTTCTTCCTCCCCCAACGCTGTTCCCGATTAATCACACCAGCCGTGCGGACGCTTTCCCACGGCACACGCGTCCAACTTCTCAAGCCACAGTTAACCGAGTCCCTTCGCCCCACCCAACCCCGAGGCATCCGGGTCAGTAGCTTGGTGTGCCTCCTCCCCCTGCTTTCCGACCTTTTCAAGAAAACCTTGTCATTTTGGTAAATGTTAACTCTACGTTTTTACCAATTTTGGTTTGGAATGAGTGTTTGTGCTCGTTAGAACATGCTGCTTCCCTAGATTTGAAACGTCACCTAAATAATTGATCCAGTGCTCAGCTGACAGTTCTTTTGGTGGTGCCTTATTTACTGTGAAAATGCTCTCTTCCAGAAAAAGCAGCACAGAGCCCCCTTCCCACGCACCCCGTCCCCGGAGGCCAGGAGTGGAAGGGAAGCGGGGAGACACAGAGAGAGAAACATTGATGTGAGAGAGACGCATCAATTGGTTGCAACCCAAGTACATGCCCTAGACCAGAATCAAACCCAAGACCCCTCAGTCCACAGGCCAACACTCCAACCTCTGAGCCCAAACAGCCAGGGCTATTTTTTTGCCTTAAAGAACCCTCCCACTCCCCCCGGCCCCCCCACACACATTACATACACGCCAGGCCCCCAGCCCCGAACGGCTCCCTGGATGCAGTTTTAGAGCCATTAGACTTCATTCTCCTCTGAGGGCGGAGCCCCCAGCCTGGTGGTGCTTTGTGTCTCCGAGGACGTTCTCGTCGGGGAAGAGGAGGGTGCTGCCGCTCTGAGCTTTAAAATGCCAAGGAGCCACTCCCTGTAACGTGTGGATGCAAAGAAGTAAATGAGGGGGTCGATGGCACAGTTCATGTTCATGAGGGACACGGTGAGCTGCAGGGACACTTTGAAGGCGCTCTGCTCGGGGCAGGAGGGCAGGTAGAGCATCTGCCTCACCATGAACTGGGCGATGTTGAGGTGGTAGGGGCTGAAGCACACCAACACGGCGACCAGCACCACCAGCGTGAGCAGGCAGGCCCGCCGGTGGTGCCCTTTCTCGCTTGTCAGAGGGTTGTCCCGGGCCGTCCTGCACAGTTTCACTGTGATCTGCACGTAACAAAATAGCATGACCCCCAGCGGCACCCAGAAGCCCACGACACAAGCCCCCAGGATGATGAGGGACAGCCTGAAGACCTTCTCAACGCTGGCGTACTCCATGCAGGTGACCTTGCCTGCCACAGGCCCGGTCAGGGTTATCAAGAGCAGGGGCACCGTCTGCAGGCCCGCCAGGGCCCAGACGGCCATGCAGACCAGCCTTGCTCGGTTGGCACTGCGGAGCTGGGGGCGCTGGTGGGTGCGGACCACAGCCAGGTAGCGGTCCACGCTCACGCACGTCATGAGGTAGATCCCCCCGTAGGTGTTCATGTAGAATATGAACGCCGTCAGCCTGCAGAGCCCTTCCCCGAAAGGCCAGCTGAAGTCCAGCGCGTAGTAGGTGATCTTCCCAGGCAGAGCCAGTGTGAACAGAAGGTCGGACACTGCCAGGTGGACCAAGTAGACGCTGGTTGAGTTGATCTTCTTGTCCTTTTGACAGGCAAGGAAGAGGGCAAGTGTATTTCCCAGGGTGCTGAAGACCAGGAGGACTGTGTAGAACAGACAGAGTGTCACACTGGCTGCCCGGGGTGGGTGATGAGGATGGCAGAAGCTGGCATTGTGGGAGATGCCGCTTGGGGTGTCTGTGCTGGAAGCCATGTCAGAGAGGACCTCAGGGAGACAAAAATAAGTAAACTGTGATACTGAATCTGTGGGGTGACAGCTCTATACAGCAATAATTAATAGTTTGCCAAGGCAGCATGCACACAAAAAACGTGTCTTTTAAACAAACTTATTATGCTCACAGCAGATTTTGATCAGGACACTGTGTGAATGGCTTTCCTCTGCTCCTCAACATTGGGAGCCTCAGGTGGGAAGAGTCAAGGGCAGAGGCTGGGGCCATCTAGAGGGGACTTCATTCAGGAGGTGGCAGGTAATGCTGGCTTTGGCCTATAGCCTCAGCTGGGGCCATCAACGAAGGCACCTGTGCGTGGGCTCCTGGGCCGGGCTTCCTCTCAGCATGGCAGCCTGAAAGGAATTAGATTCTCACACAGCAGCTGGAGGCTCCAAAAGAAAGCAACCCAGTGGCTGGGTAGACGCTCCATGTATTAACCACATCTTTTATTTTCTGTGTTCTGATGCAGTGACCGCTTGCTGCCTTGATGACTCTGCAGGGACTGCCCCGCCCTGGGTGAGCCAGTTCCTTGAGTGTGTCTTTCAAATCCTGATGAACCGTTCAGTCCAGAGCCACACCTCAGCCAACTCTTTGTTGGACTCTTACACTCTAGGCCACTATCCAATATCCTCCCCACCCCGTCCTAATCACCCCAGGGCCAAGGTGCCAGATGCCCAGGAGCAGCCTGTGTGTCCCAGAGCCTATGAAATTATTCAAACTAGCCAATCCTACACCTGCCTACCCCACCTTGCCTGTTCCTTTCCACAGAAACCACAATAAAGGCCCTCGCCCTCACTTCCGCCCCTCTCCCTCTGCCTCCCGGCCGACCCAGAGCTTCCTGTGGGGCCCCCTGTGATGTGGTGTGCCCCTTCTTGGAATCTCTAAAACAAACCCTCTTTTTCAACGGCAATTGCCTCCTGATCTGTCGGCCTTATGGAACCTCAAATTTTCCATCGGCGCACTGCGCCGCCTCCTCTAACCTAGCCCGCATCATCTCTCCCACCTCCCTCCGTCGGTTACCAGGGAGTCACGAACCCACCCTGAATCGGGAGAAGGGGACAGAGCCGCCACTTCTCATAGGAGGAACGTGAAAGAATTTGCAGCCGTTTAAAATCCAACACGTGCACGCAAACACGTATGCAAATGGCAACAGTGCAGCTTGACGATTTTCACACAGTGAACACGCCCTGTGATTAGCACCCCGACTAGGACACTTACCTCATCAGCCCCCCAGAAGCTCTCCTGCACCAGCCCCACCCCGCTCGAGGGTGACCACTATCCTCACTTCTGAAATCACTACTCAGGTTCTGAGGCTCTTCTTCCTCCCCTCCCTCCCTGAACAATCCGGCCCTCCGGCCACCTGAGCTCCCAGGGCACCGTGTTGAGTTGGGGACTGTGGGGAGGGGTGTTCTTGCAGGAGCCAGCGTCCCAGCAGGGCAAGGACATCATCTCTTGGGCAAATTGAGCCCAGGAGGGTCCCAGAAACAGCTCAACTCACCTTCTAGAACAGTGGTTCTCAACCTTGGCTGCACATTAGAATCACCTGGGAATCTTTTTAACATCCTGATTTCCGGGCCTCATCCTCCGGAAATTCTGGTTGAGAACCACTGATCTAGAATCAACTTCTCCAGTCACGGAGCGGCTATGAGAGCCCTGGTTAGAAGTAGTGTGTCCCTTTCCCTGTTTCTCCACAAGCATGGACTGGCTCCCGAGATGACCCGGCCCTTGGCCATTGTCCCCGCTTCCTGATTTTCCCGGCCTCTTCCCAGGACACAGCATCGGGCAGCCTGGCTCGGCCTGGCCCTCAGCCCCAGGGCCTTGGGGCTCACCGCAGTCACTTCCTCAGCCGAGGGTGCCTGAGCCCTCCCTTCGCTGCCTGGCACAGCTCACAACCCCTTGGCCTGCTAAGGGCCACCTCCTCTCTGAAGCCTCTGAAAACGTGAGCCCCTCCACGCTTGGAGGCACTTGATGGCAGCTCTCAGGTGTGCCTCTCCCAGCGAACCCTCCGCAGTGAACCTCTGCAGCGTCAGCACCCCGGATGCTGCGGCCTGGCCTGGGCCTCCTTTTTTGGTCTTTGGCACAAAACAAGTGCTCTGGACCTTGGTCCTGCTGGCAGCCCATGCCTCCCTTCCCAGAGACACCCACAGAGAAGTCACCTGCACACCCCGGGGAGTGGGCAGGTGCTGTCGCCCTGTGAGTCTAGTTGTGACTGTTTCCTTCTGTCCTATCTCTGTGTCCTCCACGGGCTGGGATTTAGACCATAAATATGACTATCAAGCCCCCAGAGTCAGTCTGGGCAGATCAGACCCCAACTCGGAGCCCGAGAGAGAGGGGCACACTCTCGGGCCCTAACACCTCTCATCTGCACTGCTTCCAGAAGGTTCTAAAGGTCACCCTGGCATCTGACCCGAGGGAGCCAGCCTGGCAGTTTTCCCTTGAGGCTGACGCCGGACTTCGATCCCTCTGGCCTGGCCTGGCCTTCTGCCCAGACAGGAGTGGCAGGGACCCCTGGCCGGGGAGCTGGGGCCGGCAGGGATGTTCCACCCCCTGACAACAGAGGCAGGGAGAGGGCCTGTGAAGAGCAGCTACAACCTGAGCCTTTCTCTCTGAGCCCCAGCACCTGTCTCCTGCCCTGAGGAGACTCACCTGTGGTCCACGTACCTGGCTCACCAAGGGCACGTGCAGCGAGCCCGCAGAGTCGTGGCCGGTGGCCAGCTGCCTTCCTCCGTGATGGTGCCTGCACCCTCCGCTCTGCAGGAATGGAGTCAGCTCACCACACTGGAATCCGCACTCTTGGGGCTTCACCCACCCCTGCTGAAAAAAAAAGGAAACAAAGCAGGGTATAATCTTCCTGCCACAGGACGTGCACAATCAGCCACAAGACCTCCCAACCAGGCCTGGCCCCCGTGGCTCCCAACGAGGGAGGGAGGGGAGTCGCTCTGGGAAGCCGCTTTCTGTTCTCTTTCTGTGCCCCCCACACAAAGGCTGGGGTTTAGACCATAGACATGACTACCAAGCAGCCACCATTCTCCCCTCTCACTCCCTGAGCCCCGCGCCTGGAGTGAGGGCCAGGGAAGCGAGAGGTGCCCTGTGGGGACTGTGATAAGCTCAGCTCCTGTAGGGAAGTGGAGGGGAGACAGCCTGGCTCAGGGTCTCTTGGATTTGGGGCCTTAATGGAGCCTGACAGCCACACCTGCAGCTCTGGTGGACGGCAGTCCGAGGGCTGCACTAGGCGGGGCTGGGCAGCTGGATGGTCCCAGCTCTTCTCTCCCTCTCGTTTCTCAGAGAACGGTTTTCTCCACCATATCTGGCTAATCAGTGAGGCATCGCGCCCATCCTGTGACTGGGACGGAGCCTCGCTCCTAATAGTCCCCCCTGCCTTTCTCTGAACACCTGGTGAGGCCCGCTTCCGTCAGCAGCCAGCTCTCCAGCCCGGCCTGAGCCACTCCCCACGGCATGGCATCCCACGGGCCTCGGTTTCCCCCAGGCCACCGTGTGGCTCAGCACGCTCCCCTCCTCGACCTCCCACTGACGAAGGCCACAGGACCCAACGTTCCCCAAGTATACATCGGGTCCTGAAAGATGCCCCCCGAAGCTCCCGATCTATTGGAGAGAAGTTTTGTAAAGAAGCCCTTTCTCACCAGAAACTTACCGTACACTTCCCCCCCAGCACCCCCAGAAGGAATTGCTCATGCAGCTTCCAGAGCTGCCTGACATGCACGCTTCCCAAACCCGAGGGGAACCTTCCTCCGTGTCCCCAGGACGTGTAGGGTTCACCTCGTGAAAGGTGAGACCCAGAGGCTGCTCCTCCTGGGCTGGGTGGAGGCCCTGCGGCTGCAGCTGGGTGACCACCCTGGGTGTTACCCTGGGAGCAGCTTCGCAGGCACTGATTTCTGACACCAGCTGTGTCTGCCAGAGAAAGCAGAGGTGACACCCTATCTCATCTCTGCGGCTTGCACGCCTGCATTCCGGGAGCATCTTCAGCCCCGAGAGTACGCGTGTAGCCTGGTGTGGTTTCGTTCAGGGTACAGCCGTCCGGGGCTCTGTGAAGCTAATGCATCCCCCTGCCTTTCTTTAAAAATGAGGAAGAAAAGGAATGAGAAAGGGTACAGATGTATTTGTTTCCTTTTTCAAAACAATTTTTGAATTATTACTAGGACTTCTGGACACTTAACTAAAACATATTTATTCGCTCACCCCTAGCGAATGTCCACATTACCCTGAACTTCCAGAACTAGCGAGGGATACCACAGCGACAAACCCGTCCTTCTGACAAGCAGACGGGGGAGACCTCTGTGGAGAGACAGACGCGCAGGGAGAGTGGGTTCAGGGCCGTAAGGGAACACCCGGGAGGAGGCTGTTCCGAGTCCTGAGTGCGGCAGTCAGGGAGGTTTCCCAGATGAAGACGTAGGATGGGGAACAATTTGCCAAACATATCCCGCCACTGACGCAAAGGGAAAGCGCGGGGAGCTGTGCACTTGATCCTTGTGTCACTTTCACTCACATTGCATTGACCCACACAAGTCACATGGCCACGTCTAACTTCAAGAAGACAAGGAAGTGAAATCCTGCTATGTGCTGGGGAGAAACACTGGCAAACCAAAGACACCACTAAATGCGTCGGTCTCTCCCTCCCAGGACTCATGTGTCCAGCTATCCACTGGTGACGGCCTCAGCACACAGGATCAGGCCAATGTGCTTAACTCCTCAGACCCATTCCACCTCCAGGACTGGCCCATCTCTACAAATACTGCTCCCCCCCCCCAGCCCCCACCAGGCCATCCTGCAAGCCTCCCTTGCTCTCCCTCAATGTGCCATCCACCCCCAAGTCTCCTCTACAACATGCTTGAGGCGGTGGCCATAGAGTAGGCTTTGCCATCTCTCTCTCTCCAGCAAGCCAACCACAGCTTCTCGTCCCCAGTCCTGGCTCTCGACCTTAACACTCCAATCCACTCTACATTCTCCATCCCATGGTGAGAATGAGTTTGCTTAAATATACAGTGGCCCTACATTTCTCAGGAGCATGACCCTAATTCCACAACCTGGCATTTGCTACTCTCTTTGCCGGAAACGTGTTTCCCCCGTCCCACCTGCCCTATGGCAAGTCGCTTTAAATCATCCTCAGTCAAGACAGCTCTGGCACCTCTCCTCCAGGCAGCCTACCTTGACTGCTCCCATCCCCCCCATTTCATATACATAGATGCTCATCATATGACCCCCCCCCCGGTACCCTACACATCTATATTAGTGTCCACTATAATTGATACCATTTGTTGGATTGTGAGCCATTGCGAGACATGATGAGCTTTCGTAAATTTTAGTCTCTCTAGGGCAGCGGTTCTCAACCTGTGGGTCACAACCTCTTTGGGGGTCGAACAACCCTTTCACAGGGGTCGCCTAAGACCATCAAAAAACACATATATAATTACACATTGTTTTTGTGATTAATCACTATGCTTTAATTATGTTCAATTTGTAACAGCATTAGGAAGGTTGAGAACCGCTGCTCTAGGGGCTGACACAGGCCTTGGCATGGAAGAGGTGCGTAGTAAGCGATCTTTGAACACAGGAGCAGTGGGGAGGTGCTGCTATTCTAAGCCTGCCTACCATAGCTCCTGTTGCAGTGATGGCGAACCTTTTGAGCTCGGCGTGTCAGCATTTTGAAAAACCCTAACTTAACTCTGGTGCCATGTCACATATAGAAATTTTTTGATATTTGCAACCATAGTAAAACAAAGACTTATATTTTTGATATTTATTTTATATATTTAAATGCCATTTAACAAAGAAAAATCAACCAAAAAAATGAGTTCGCGTGTCACCTCTGACACGCGTGTCATAGGTTCGCCATCACTGTCCTATTGGCTCATCTCATCAGAAGCATTCCCTGTATTACCCAAGGGGGAAGGGATGCAACATAGTCTAAGGCAGTGGTCGGCAAACTCATTAGTCAACAGAGCCAAATATCAACAGTACAACGATTGACATTTCTTTAGAGAGCCAAATTTTTTAAACTCAAACTACATAGGTAGTTTGCTTCTTCTTTGTAGCCATGTCAAACAGGGCACCTAAAAAAAATGTTTCATTTTATAATAATAAAGCCACCAACACAAAAGAATCACAATTCTTAAATTGATGACAAAAATACCTGCAGGATTTGCAGCTGGTTGGAAAAATACAGGTAACTTTATGCTTCGAGTAGGTACTTTTGTCACCCGCGTGCGATTTGTGGGCATGACTAGCACTAACCACTGCACATGAGACTGCTGACTGACTGGCTCGCTCAACTCGTGCATGAATCGCGTGCTGTGTATCCCGCGGTCCCCCTGCGCCGCGTCTCCCCTCGCCTGACTGACCGACCGACACCCCCCACTTCTTCTAACACCACTTCTTCAAAATAGACTCGCCCAGGCCGAAAAACCGACTTCTGCGCATGGGCCACGAAGTTTCAATCGCAAGGGGCCAAAGAGCCGCCTGTGGCTCGAGAGCCGCGGTTTGCCGACCCCTGGTCTAAGACACTCACAGGACATTTTTGTTTGAGTTGGGAGTTGGGATGTCTGCAGGTCACTGACAGCCACATGACGCTGAATGTGAAGACGACAGCTAGGGTTGAAAAGCCATCCCTTCTATTTTCCCATGACCTCATCGAGTCACCAAATAGAGGGGCCCAATAGAAGCTCCTGTCCAGTCTTCCCACATTGCAGAAGAGGAAGCTGAGGCCCAGAGAGGTGAGTGAAGTGAGTCATCCAAAGTCATACAGGCAGCTCTAGACGGTCCCAAAGCCTGGACCAGCCTACAGCCTCCCACGCAAATGCTCTTCAAGAAAAAGAAGGTGTGGGTGCCTCCCACTCCATCTCATGATCAATGAGAACGTAAGCAAAACCTCAGTTAGCTAGAACCAACCGTATTTTCCTTTATCTATAATCTTCCTTCAAGAGGAAGATGAAATTACTTCTTTCTCTCTTTCAGTCAATAACTCTTATTTAAGCACCTTCATGCTCAAGGCACTGTGCTGGGCACAGCTGATGATCTAAGAGAAAAACACACCCTCTCTTCAGATTGTGGGAGCAGGACATATATGCCGGCGCATTAACCAAGAATGCAAGGGAAATGCCAAATGGGTAGTTCAGGCATGAAGATAGTTTGCAAAAATTTCGCAAGAAAATGCCCCCAGGAGAGATTTAGTCAGAAAAGCAACTCCTAGGGAGATTCCCTGGGCGCCACTCAATCCCCAACCCTGGTCAATGCCCACCTGTGACCCTACTGTGCAGTCTGACTACACCGATGAGCCTACAGCTGAAAAAGCACAGAATCAACAAAATGAGATGACTTTGTAATCAACTGGGTTCAACTTTCTCGTAGACCCAAATTCCTCCCCTGGGCCCTGCACAGCACCTGGCTCAGTCACCATGAACCGATGTGTGTTTGGAATGAATGCGTGCATTCTTCTTTCTAAAGGTTACTTACTGCAGAGGTTGAACCCAAAGCGAGTATCTCCTGAACCCTTAGTTGTTCTGTTAGTAAGCTTTTTTTTTATTGAAATACAAGGCACTTACAGAAAAGCGTCCAGATCATAAACTCAATGCATTTTCATACAGTAAACACACCCATGGAATTAGCACCCAGATCAAAAACCAGAAGCCCCTTCTGTGCCCCCCCGCCCCCGCAGAAACCCCTTCCTGTCACCACCTCCCAAAGTTCTATCACGTAGATTACTTTTGCCTGGTTTTGAACTTTATATAAATGAAATCATATGGTATATGTCCTTTCAGCTCTGACTTCTTTTGTTCAACATTATTTT